TTAGGGTCTGGGGTTTAGGGTTTGTGATCCCTCAAGTACCCTAGCACAGATAGGGATAGGGGCTTACACACATTGACTCAACAAAGCTGCACTGAAGCCGCCTGAAGTCCATATTATCCAAGAAATACTGCATAGAAGCAACATTGTCATGGTTTACTGGTTTAATTTCGCTGAGGGATGGGAAGTTTCTAGCAACACCTGTCTCAACAAAAACGTGCAATGACGCGGGCCGAAAGGACTCTCGGGCCTTCATTCCTCCTACACCGACTGACGGCCCTTGGGCTATGGATGTGGAGGCTGAACTGATCCGGGATGTACATAATGCCAGCACGGCTACACTACATCCCGTTGCATTCCATTGCGGTCCGTTGCATACCGTTGCATTCCACAGTGTTCTGTTAAATTCCAGGAACAGCCTTGCTTCATAGACTATAGTGCGCTCGATTAGCCGTTAACCTGAATACACACACGTGTATACATACAGACGGACAAACCAGCAAACAAACAAGCAGACCGACAGACAAGCAGAACACACAGGCAGCATGGCAGACCGACAGACAGACTGGACAAACAAGCAGATTGGCAGACAGACAGACAGACAGACAGAACAGACAGAAAGACGGACGGACGGATGGACAGACAGACAGACAGGACGGACAGGACAGCAGGACGGACAGGAACGACAGACAGGACAGATAGGACAGACAGACCAGACCGGACAGACAGGACAGACAAGCAGACAGACGAAGGTACACACGCACGAGCATAGATGTTAGGCACATATGTACGTACAGATGTAAGCATGTAGATGCCTGCATACAAACACATCCATGCAAACGAGCAAGATGTGCATACACCTGTTATACACACATACATAAAAGCCGCAGAATTCACCCGTACGTGCACGCAGAGGTTTACCAGCGTGTGCGCACAAGCAGTCGCATAAGCAGATGTACAAACACATACAAGCTGAGGGGGCCACTCATCTGCAGATACAGGCAAATGTACAAACTTTCATCCATGGATACATCTCGAATCTATGTATGCATCGAGATGTCCGCGATGCAAACTCGCTTACATCCTGAGGCGCAATATCCACCTGTGTAGAGCCTGCGTCTATGTTAAACACGAGTATGTTCAGCTGTATACCTGTCTGTACATGGACACGTGTGTCTGTTGTTCGTACGGGTTGTGTTGAAAAGACGCCTAGGTTGGTAGTTCGACAGCCTGATGCAGGCACAAGTGCCCACCTGCTCACACACGCTATGTAGATGTAGCTACGGGTACAGAGACGATTCATTATGTTGCAGTTATCTTGCGGTGTAAAGACACATGCACACATGCACGTATTGTACTGCCGCCTTCTCTATCCGCTCGCTACGAGTAGCTTGCTGAAACCTTGTTGAAACTGATTGCAGACGAAGGCTCTCAGTAATCTCTTCGTCACCACCGCCCGCCATAGCCAGGAAAGTTGCGAAGTGTGGGCTAATTAAAGCTTAGGACTCAGGTTCTTGCCCATAGGGCTGGGTGTGAGGGCTTTGGAAAGGTCAAGATAACATGGTATTGTGATGGCTAGGGCCTTGGGGGGGTGCTGCAAAGCATCTGAATCGTCGATTTTGAAGGCTAAAGGTTGTGATGTTAAATGCTGCAACACTGAAGGAACCCGCATATTCTAGCATTATAGCGACCACTGGTTACAGCTATGACCTGTAGGTTGTAGGCTAGCATGCTGTGAGCTGCTTCTGTACAGAGGGGCACGCCGATTCGGATGACGGCCCAGCACCGGCTACAAGAAAGCTGAGCCGCCCATGCCGAAGTCGCAGAAGTCAGAAAGAGTGGGATACGAGAAAAGCCCTGAACCCTAAACTCCTAAACCCTACGCTCTGAGGCGCGGGATCCACATGCATGTGCAGCCGATATACTTGGATCTTGTGTAGCACGGACCCGGTTCAGAGATCCCCCACCAAAATGTCTTAGCGCAAGATTCGCGGGACCCATCCCGTCTGGATTCCAGGGCCCACAACCCCACGGTTTAGGGTTTAGGGTGTCTGGTTCCCTGTTAGGGCTGTATTAAAAATGATCATTTTGAATCCTTATTGGGTTTCATTCATACGAACATGTAAAACTGTATCCAACAAGGACCCAGGTTTAGGGTTAACCCTAAACTCTAAACCCCTAAAGACAAGGCAGAATCCACTTGAGATTCTGAGAACCTGGCATAGCAGGAGACGGTCAAGACGTTCGAGATGGCGGAGACGGTGCCCCCGACCTCGGCGACGGGTGACAAATAGGAGGGAGGTTCGACAATCAACTCAGTTGGGCTCATGGTATTGATGGTAATATAGAAACCTGGTTAAGAGACTTCTTATATGGATCCTGATATTTTGGGGGTTAGGGTTCTTAATGCGGCTCCCCAGTACGGAAAACCAGCTGAAGAAGTCTACCACGGATGCAAGGTGAAACAATTTTCCTGAAGCAATCTTCCTGCTCGCCGACCGACAAACAAGCTGGTTCTCTCAGGAAGATAGAAAGCCGGGCGCGAAACACGGGGTCGGCCAGGCATGTCGTTTTATCCTCTGCACAGTTGGACTTTCTTTCGGAACAACTTTCCAAGTCGAACTCAGGTGGAAAAGGTCAATGATCGATTGACATAACGAAATTACTACTACTCGCACAGTCCGTTTGCTACGAAACCCCAAAGGCTACACATTTAACCCCGCGAGCCCTAAAACCCAAAACCCTACATGCCAAACACCTACTTGGAGGATCGGGAGACTTAGTAAGTAGGTAATAAGTAGACTTATAAGTACCCTAAAAGGGACCCTAATTGGGGTTACGGTACTTATAAGTCTATAAAATACCCATTTACTACGTCCCCCGACCCTCCAAGTAAGCCACAAAGACCCTCTAAAACTCAAAACGGAAGCCCCGGACAGGCACCAAAAGGAGCCACAATCGTGGAGCCCTAATGTGCAGGCCTTGTTGATTGTTGATTAAAATAAGGTATGGGTGGTAGATTCGTCTATGACTCAAAACAGGGAACCCTAAACTCTAATCCCTAAACCCTAAATCCTAAACCCTAATTAATCCCTAATCCCTAAACCCTAGACCCTAAAACCCTAAACCCTAGACCCTTGTCTCTGAACCCCAAGCCGAGGCTTTTGCCGTGTAACCCAGCTGAAGCCGCGTCCGGAGCTCGGCAAAAGCAACCTCCTGGAGCACCTGCGAAGAGCGTTTCTCAAGCTTGGGGTTTAGGGTTTAGGGTTTTCGGGTTTTGGGGTTCAGGATTTTGGGGTTTAGGGTTTGGGGTTTAGGGTTGAGTGTTTTAGGGTATAGGGACTAGAGTTCCCAAAACCGCGTGCGTTACATGCTTCGAGGGGGGGTGGAGTTAGGGGTAGGTTCGGGCTTAAGGGTTGAAGGCGAAGGGTTGGGGGTTATCTAAAGGGTTCCATAAGTGTTCGGAAGGGAAAAAGTAAAGTCCCAATCCAAAAGCAAAAGCACTCCCTGAGGGTTTTTGGGGTTTGGGATTTAGGGTTTAGGGTTGCTGCTGGTATGGATGGTAGGAAGAGCCGAGCAATGATTCAGGATTTGGGGAATCAAAGTCATACTGGTCCCGTCATGAAGGAGCATTCGAATCTGTAACTGGAGTGTCCCGAATGCCGATGATACCGTCCGTTGACAACGCGAAGTCGCGGTCGAATTGCAGCGGCAGCACCGGCTGGACATGGCTTTCAGTCCCAAACCCTAAACCCTAAACCCTAAACCCTAAACCCTAAACCCTAAACCCTAAACTACAAACCCTAAGCCCTAAAACCCTAATACACCCAAAGCCCTAAAGCCTAAACCGTTGCGCGCCACTGCGGCACTGTCGGCTGTTAGCGGTAGGCTCGAGGACGGCGCAGATCCAGAGCTTCGAGCAGCTTTAAGCGGTTTAGGGTTTTAGGGTTTAGGGTTTAGGGCTTTAGGTTTAAGGCTTTAGGGCTTTAGGATTTAGGGTTTAGGGTTTTAGGGTTTAGGCTTTTAGGGTTGAGGGCTCACGGTTTACGGCTTAGGGTCTCTCCCACGACCTCCTTCGATCCTTCGATCGACTTTCGCTCGCCACTCCGGGTAGAGCTGACGGCTGCCAGGTCGAAGCTCAAAGCGTTCAGGTTTTAGGGTGGAGGGTTTGGGGTTTAGGGTTTTTGGGTTTTAGGGTTTAGGGGTTTTTGGGTTTAGGGTTTTAGGGTTTAGGGTTTAGGGTTTAGGGTTTAAAGGTTTAAGGCTTTATTTACGGCGCCTCCTTCTCTTACCGCAGCCTTGCCAGCATCCCTAAATTCTACAACCTAGACCCTAAGCCCTATGAGCCCGTAAACCCTAAACCCTAAACCCTATAAACCCTATAAACCCTCTAAACCCTCTAAACCCTAAACCCTACAAATCCTACAAACCCTAAACTCTAAACATCCGTTTCGGACCTGAAGCCCAAGAGGTTCGGGGATCCTTGCAGCAGTGGTTCTGGTATTCGTGACGATGCTGGTCCTTTCCACCCTAACTCCTCAAGCGGTTTAGGGTTTAGGGTTTAGGGTTTAGGGTTTAGGGTTTAGGGTTTAGGGTTTAGGGTTTAGGGAGGAATCCCTATACAACCCTTGTGGAACCCTTTGGGAACCCTTGTCGAAGAGCCACAGAATCCCAAAAGCCAATCCGAACCCTGAACCCTGAACTCTGAACCCTAAACCCTAAAACCCCAAATCCTAAATCCTAAACCCTTAACCCTAAACCTCGACCTTTGGCCCACCTGGGAGACGAGGCCTAAGAGCACTCGCTCGCGGAGGCTGCCGGTGCCGACTAAAATCGTCCTCAACACTTTGGGTTTAGGGGTTTTAGGGTTTAGGGGTTTAGGGTTTAGGGTTTAGGGCTTAAGGTTTAAGGTTTAAGGTTTAGTGTCTGGGGCTTAAGGCGAAGGAGGCTCTCAGGGTTTAGGGCCTTGGGTTTCCTTATAGGGCTTTCGGGGCCTAAGGCGACCGAGGGTGGTTCAGGATCTGGGAGGGTCGACTTGGAGGGGAGGGCGACTTAGTAAATGGTTATTATATAGACCGATAAATACGATAAACCCAATTAGGGTCCCTTTTGGGGTGCTTATAAGTCTACTTATTACCTACTTACGAAGTCTCCAGACCCTCCAAGTATCATCTGGGTTTTGGGAATTAGAGACTGAGCCCTTAAAGCGTTCGGATATTCTGGCGGCTCAGACATTGGGGCTTTGGACTGCAGGATTGGGAGGCAGCCGTTGGGGTAGGCCCATGTAATACCACTGCAGGATTGGTGCAACATCTAGAAATTCCTATGCTGAACTACGAACAGACTCAATAGACGATCCAGCATTGCAAAGGTAAAGGGAGCCTGGCTTGGAACAAAGAAGCCCCTAAGCCCTGAACCCGAAGGAAGCCCTGTTGTGATCCCCTCGTCTCCGGAATGGCTACTTGCCAGGACCTCCAATTAGGCTTTAGGGTTTAAGTTTAGGGTTTAGGGTAGCACAACTATGCACCACTCGCAAACCCACATAAACCTGTAAAATCCAGCTGAAAGGACTCTACAAACCTATGTTGAACAACTCCTTTGCCGGGGCCCCCAAACACCCGCAAACCCCTCACTAGAACTGGTGGATTCGGAGATTGGAAGCTCCCCCAAGCTTGGACTAATCTCGGTGTTCCTTGATGTAATCCCGGTTGGGTGAACCACAAGCGCTTAGCAGTCTCTCATACGACTAGAACCCTTGTAGTACTCTCGTTACACCAGTTAAAGCCCTTCGAAAACCCGACCAGAACCTCTATAGAACCCCCAGAAAGCCCCTAAACCCTAAACCCTAAACCCTAAACCCTAAACCAAAACCCTAAACCCTAAACCCTAAACCCTAAATCTTAAACCCTAAACCCTAAACCCTAAACCCAGCCCCAAAGGATTGTACCCAAGGCTCCGATAGCACAGCCCCAAACCCACCGCGTTCGAAAGGGACAAGATCTGGCAGACGAGGCCTTCGAAAGGTTGGACACCAAACCGGTCAAACCCTTATTTAGGGTTTAGGGTTTAGGGTTTAGGGTTTAGGGTTTAGGGTTTAGGGTTTAGGGTTTAGGGTTTAGGGTTTAGGATTTAGGGTTTAGGGTTTATAGCTGCTATCGGTTGACAATCAGTATTGTGCAAGTACAGTAGAAGCCCTAAGGAATGATATGGATAGTTACTTAGGTTACTACAAGACAACGAAATGGGGGTTTCCGAAAATTAGGGGTACCTTATTTTGGGGGTCCTTATAATAAGGATCATATTATTTGGGGTACTATATTAGGGTCCCCTATTTTCGGAAACCCCCAAATGGATCTGTATAAACATTGAACTTCGCCATGTAACTTGAGACTTCCACATCGGGGTTACAGCAGAATCCCTCTTGGACGCGTGCATAAGCATCGCATGGGTGCTGTCATTGCGCGGGCTCCTGATACCAGGAAGGTCGTTCAGTGATAGACTTTGATGAATACTTAGAAAGTTCCGTTTTTAGGTTTTGAGGCTGTTCAGAAAGCCCTAGATCCTGAACCCTAAACCCCACGACGCAAACCGTTGCACCCTGAAGCAAGAAAAGCTTTCAAGCGCATAGACTTGGCGAAAGACCCTAGACATTGGCTGTAAAGTCATCAGACGTGGAAGTTAGACATATAGGAGCCTCAGTAGATTATGCTTAGGATAGTGTTTTGGGGTGAACATCTAATATACTGGCTAGACAGACAATACGGGGGAGGGAAGTTTTACCAGCTATTCAGATCTCTGTTACAAAAGTAGGGCGTAATACGGCGTTTCAGCACTGGCCTTCTCGGAGAACAAGCATAAACATCTGGGTTAAGAAAGCAGCGTATAGATCAGGGCACTACGTTGAACCTATCAGACGTGAACTACAATGCTTAAATATGAGGGTTGTATGGCGATGGTGATGGCGGCAGCCATTCTTTTGATGGTACTGA